ATCTCTCTTCTTCTAGAGCAAATAAATTTAGTAATTTGACTGAACTGCGTAAAATACATACATATGCCTAAAACAAGCTGACTTTTACCGGTCATTAATATACTAAGCTCAATTATTTACTTTTAAATTTCTATCTATTGCGCTCGAATCTTTGATATAATCAAATAATTTATCATTTTCCTCCTGAACCTATTTCCAGGTTCTTAATTAATAATTACTATTGTTCAAAAAGTATTCTCCAAATCGCCTCTAATTATGCACTGATGGACAACCATAACATTTATTCCACTTTTAATAAGTACATATACCAAAATGAAACAATAATTAGAAAAAATAAAATTATTTAAAAGTGAAAATATTCAGCACAAATATTTTTTTCAAATGTTTCTAAAAAATATAAGAAAAATAACAAACTCTAGATTCAGTTTCTGAAAGTTTGGTTGCAGATCCGTAGTTTAGTCCCTTTTATTTTAATTATTGTTAATGTAATCACAGTTAACCAAAAGCAATTTACTTCTCAATTAAAATATCGCGCTTTCCTGCACATTTCATCTCCTTTATCATACATGATTAATATTTATTTGTTTACATCAGGAATAATCACAATGTAAACGTCTTAATCAATATCATACTTTTACAAATCAGTGAAATTTTAATCTCTGAAAGACATAACACTATTCAAAGAAGTTCTTACTCTCAGTTGCACTATCTGCTTTGCAATTTAAATTCATAAATGAAAGTGAATTTTTAAAGAAGTGAACTAATTAATATTAAGCGAACTAATTATTCTTATTTAAGCATTTTAAAGAAGCGAGCTAATTATTCTTATTTAAGCATATCTCAAAATCAATCAAATTTCATCGAAAAATATTCTCAGATTCTTTTAAATGACTGTATTAAGAGCATTGAAATAAACTAAATTTCGCGCATTCTAATGATGAAAAAAAATATATATATTGCGGAACTGCATAAACAAAATCCTATCACTCTTTTACATTAGATTAAAAACTTAACATAGCTCAGCATCGTGCATAAAACCTCTAAAGAAGAAATAATGTAAAATATTTCAAATATAACTTAAAGATGTAATTTGTGAGGCACTTCTGATCTGCCTGTAAGGCACTGCATGAGATAGACAGACAGTGACGTTTTAAACTATGTGGTCATAATCGCTGTCATTTAACAAGGACAGGCAGAAAACTTAATAACAGAAGGCGTATTAATAGTATTAATGAAGGTGTATTAATGCAACATGTTCGTGCAATATGATCCGTTTTGTTCATACAAAAACAAGTTATTAGGATTATAATGGCTTTCTTCAGCTTATCATTCAAAATAAGTGGATGCTCTTAACTCTAATGTTCCACACTTCACTAGCAAGATGAACATCTCTTAATTAAATACATGTACTCACGATTTTCACATATTTTTCGGATATCCAATACTGTCCCAGCAGCATGTCACAGCATAACCGAACAAAGTTAAATAAGTTTAACACAAAAACTTCTGATACCACTGTTTATCGCCTACTTTCATTTTCACATCCTAACATTTTCTGGCAAACTCGTGTGCAAATTTAGGGCGCATTATTATGTATAAAAAAATTGTGAACATGGTTCACTCTAGAGAGAAAGGCTAGTAAGATTGGAGAAAAAGGGGACCATAAAACTTCACAAGCTATTTCCTGGCAAACAATTTTATGCTATTTTTATTTTTTATCACCTCGTGACAATCATCCCGCAACAGGTTGAGACTGGCAGACGCTCTGGTGCCACAGTCAATTTTCTGAACATAACATAGCTAAATGAATAACATTTATTAAGGTTCTGAAAGGTTTGTTTCTTTGCAGAGATATTAAAATGTAGGAACTATATTTATTATAAAAACTAATATATAGTAATATTAATAATTAGACATAATATTAGTAACCAATCTTAGTTATTATACATAAGGATGGAAATTATTTTAATGTCTTAAAATGTCATCATTAATTTTACATTTATTATGATGTTATATTTACAACAATTCGCATCAAGAAAGGATACGAAAACTTGACAATGAACGCAGGGAATTTGGGCGTCGTAAGGAATTCGATGCAATAGGATGGACGTCAGGGCTTACTAATCGCCATACGCAAAGTCACTACTCCATACTTCATTCGCAGTTTATGCCACTGGAGGTACTTTTCAAAGTGTAAAAAATGTTTTCTCTGCTCCAGTGTCGACGTTGACAATTTCGCGACAGTTGGCTTTTAGATTGGGTTGTGATAATTGGTGATGCAAGTTGGATATTCAGTTGTGCTTTACGAAGGTTTCTATTAACAGCGATCTGTCGTCATGAATGTTTACAATATGGTTGAAGAGTTGCGTGGAATGTCAGCTTGGGACTGTTGAGTGAGAGTAAGTTGCGTGGAAATGGGAGTAAGTCTTTTGACGAAGCTCGCTTCTGCCACCCAAATGATTATTCGCGAATGAGGGTGGGGAGACGCCGTAGTCCCGAGGCGAATTCCTCTGCCCTTGTCCAGAGGCACCATAACCCATTAACGTGGAATAATTTTTTGGAATGCCATTATTGCTAACAGCCATTCGTCTTTAATAAGCATTGCAGGCACATTAGCTGCACTTTTTTATGCTGACGATATGCTGCCTCTTTACCTTCTTCCGTATTTTTAGAGTACCCTGAATTTCATTTTTCCAACGAGACAACGCTTAGCTACAAATTGTTAGGCTCCCTTTAATGCGTTGCAATAATATTCTCGAACTGGCGGGCTGCAGGGCCGCATGCAACCAATAAAGCAATTTAATGCGGCCCACGAGGAGACATTTCAATTATGTGTTTGTAGTTAATACGATGTTGCAAGATTTTAAGATATTAGTTATTTTACGTTCGAATTTCTGTTAGCTTCATTACCATTATAAACGAACATGAATAAGGGGCCAGAAAATCTATAAATAAAGTTAATTAATTTATAGTGTAAAATCAATCTTATTCTTAGATTTACAGAATTAGAGTCTTTTTTACTAAGAATATTCGTTTTGTTTGGAAATGCATATATGTGCGAACAGCGTTTCTCCGCAGTTGAAAACTGATAAGAAAAGAATCCGATTGAACCAACGAGAATCAAATCCCCGATGAAGATAATTTCTAGTAATTTCTCTCCAAAGCTAGTGTTAAGCTAATATTTCTTTGACGCGTATAGAAAAATATATCTATTTGTATGTAAATAACTATAAACTTATTTATTTCTTGCTGCAACTTTCAGCTACAACACATTGTGGCGCTTTTAGATGGAATTTGTAAACTTGGAAAAAAATTACTGGAAACTATCTTCATTAGGTTCATTCAACTGGTAGGTGCTCACCAGCCAATCTGATCTTTTTTTAGACTGGTACCAGTTTTCAGCTGGAGAAAGAACATTTTACAAATAAATTTCCTCCCAAATAAAGCGATTATTCTTACTGTAAAAACTTCGTAGCTGAGGATATTTATCTTTGGACAAGTACGAAAAAAATTTAATGAGATCTGCATCGTGAAATCTTTGAATAAGATTTATATTACAGTATAAATAAATCAACTCGATTTTGAGGGCGTTACTTAAGTTTATTTTAACAGTAATGAAAATAATGTAAAATTGAGCTTCAAATCATTAAAATCTTAAACTTTTTCTCAGCATAATAATACATTCTTGTCATCACAATATTGATTAATTTACGGGATATATATTCGCGGATCTAGAAAAATTACTTCTAGAGCCGCCAGTTTGAGATTACTGTGCTAGAGAGCACTTCACCAGATCAGTTCCCTAATCAAGTTTTTGTGGAACATGAATGGACATCGGCTGAATACCTCGTCATCTTCTAGAAACGAAGATGAATTTGTGGAGTCGTATCAACAACGCGTGTTGCTCATTGTAACAACATTGCATAGATGTTCTTGTCTGACTTCGCCTAGGTGATCAGACTCGGAATGCTATCGCGCCTTTTTCAGACCAGAAGAGGAACCCTGTTGCAACGAGGTTCCATTGATAATTTTTCTGGTTTCACCTCCAAGGTCACCTATGGTTCCAGGGATTAAAAACTCTTTAACCGGGGTCGGAATGTAGTCGCCTTTTGTTCCTATCAGAGGAGGAATCTCCCCCTCGGATTCAGCGGAGAAGTAGCGACACCGTGAAATTTAGTCAAGTTTTTGCAGCGAGAGGCAAAGGTGGTTTTCAAGAGAGCACCAGCTTGAACCTTCCTGCTCAGGCTATGAACATTTTTGCCTGCAAGAACTATGACTTCTTGGGTGTGCTGCTGACCTAGCACGCTCCTGTGTAACAATTTCTGAAACTACTGAACTGAATAAGTGTTTAAATTCCAGATCGTTATTAACCACACATGCAAAAGTTTTGTTTTCATTAAAGTTCATGTTGTTGAGTTGGAAATTCATTTCAACCCTGCATTATAACAGGAACTTTGGGTAGCGGGTTTGGCCACTACACCACATCATTATCATGGAGAAATATTCTTCCTTAATATTGAGCACCATGAGTTCTGATGGAAGGAATGGCTTCCTCTGTCCGTGATACCACGGGGCATGATTCATGCATCCAATTAGTCCGATTCAACGACGTGCTCAAGGATGTATTGCCCGAAATAGGGCTGCAAATCTTATTGATGCCCTATTCAGCGTTGAGCATCTTTACATTTAAAAAGACTTTTTAAGTATTTGGTTAAATTTCTATGCGAAAAAATTTTAATTGCTTCCAGTCATTCTCTCATGATATGGCATTTTCTCTGTCAGATAGTGTATATTTAATCTAGTACGAAAGTCCTATCTGAACGTCTAATCTATTAAATATATAAATGTTTAGGCACTAAATATTTGATACATATAAACTGTAATGAACCTTATCTATGTGTCTTAGGTATTACTTGCAACGATAATGGTACTTTGTACTTTACGGTAATGCAATCACTCCTGTCTAATCTTATCTATACTTTAAATAATTTACCTATTAAAATGAAAGTAACATTACTTTACGTGCCAGTTCAAATTTCCGATTCAGAAAAATAACTTCTTTGATTCTTTTTGGAGCATCACCACATCAGAAGATGGTAAGAAATAATTTTAATATTTATAACATCAGTAAAAGTTGTACCTCTTCTCATATTTCTTTGCAAATTGAAGTACTTAATGCATTTGTAATTCACAATAGATTAATAGGTGATTTGAAGATTATTTCACAGTAAAACGCAAATTTGAAAATGTTTTGATCACTTATATTTTTTTCATAAATCCTAATTTTATAACATTAGTTAATATAATTTATATATTAATCTTCTAAAATATTTTAAAAAATTCGTTTTGTTCCTAACCACTGTTCATATAATATGAATTGTAATTTTTTTACCTTTTCAACATTTAAAAATATTTACATTTAATTTGCTTTGACATTATTTTTTCACTTACGTCTTGAAAATGATATAGTTTGGAAAATTTATTATAATTCGCATTAATTATTCTGCAACTTAATAAATGCTTCCTCGTAATGGAGCTTTTTGCACCCTTACTTGATTAAAAAAAAAAAAAAATATATATATATATATATATATATATATATATATATAAAGGTAAACATATAGATTGGAAATTTTCCAACAATCACTGTATGCTGTGAACCTTAAGTCTTCCTCATAAGCGAAGCTGAAATATATTCTGTAGTTGCAGAAGTATGATCAAAGGAATTCGTTTATCAAAATTCAATCATTTCTATGCTAAACTCCTGAGTAACAGTTGAGAACATATCAATCTATTATTTAATCTATTGAATTTTCTATCATAAAAAGTGCAGAAAGTTTAAAAGTACCATTATAGAGTTTAGAGTTTGTGTGTATTCTTTGAGAGCATACACTCTTAAACCCTATTTTCGAAGAATAGGTAACGAATTTTCTCTATGCCTTTAAAAATAAGTACTCCAGATGAAAGGTTTAAATAACCCTTTTATTTAAATGTTTCATAAACTGTTACTCATGACTAATGACTGGCTCCTTAGCTTAACTAACGCTAAATCGGCTGCATACAGCAAAGCCGAGCCGAGAAAATATCAAAAATATCAGTATAAACTGAAAGGTGTCGAACACCGACTATAGAGAGCTAATCTTAAACTCGCAGCATAAACATCGGAACTAAGTCCGCTACTACTCTTTGAACTTTTGCAACGCTGCTTAAATACTGCTTCTGAAACACGTTTAAAATTACATCTACGTCATACAAAATGAGCACTCCGCCAGCAAACTGAAATCAGGAGAAATAGAAAAGTCAGGCTAAAAATAACTGGTTAGAATAAAGTAAAACCTTACACCATAAAGTCTTTAAAAATACAAAAGAGTAAAATACACTTTATTTTGCTTCTTAAATTATTAGCAATTACTAATAAGCCTACAATTCTCTAACGTGTATGTGTGTATTTTAATTACGGCAAAGCACACTAGGGCTATCTGCCTAAGGGGAGGGATGCCTTTCGTGGAGGACTTTCTAAGGGAAACTGGCTCGTATACACGTTACACATGGGGAAAACCACGAAAACACCCATGCAGCCAGCCCGTTCGCGGGATTCGAACCTCGGACCGAACTACCAGTGTTCAGCGACTTTACCGCTCGGCCGCTGGTGGGCCCACAATTCTCTAACAAATCAAAAAAAATTATTTAAATTTAAATGACCAATCAATGTACCTATGTCCAACGTTCAACTCTTGTTTTCAATCCCCAATGAGCTGCCTCGAATATTCTTTTTGATATGTTAGTATTTAAATGATATCATGTTAACTCGTCGCGCTCACTCAGAAAACTAAAATATTTCACTTTTCAGTGTTAATGTTAAACCTCCGAGCCGTCGGATAGAACTAAAAGCTTTTTACGGCTTAATGATCTCTCTCGAATTATTTCTAATTGCCCTCATTTTATTTTTAAACATAAATATTGATGAGCTGAGTGCGTCCACGCCATGCACATGTTTTCCTCTTTGCCCTTCCTTTTTAATGTAATTTTTTGTCATAACACTCTGGATGGCGATTCCTCTCTTAAACTTTTCGAACTATTTACGACTTGCTTTGACTTATTTTTCTTTGTCAATTGATGATCCTGATGTCTTCTTAATGAGGTGGGCAAAAATTAATTTCGCCTTCTCACAAATTATGTTTTCGTTAATAGTGTCGCCTTGCATTTGCTTCTCGTTGATTCATGTGAGAAGCATTCTTTTATCACCGTCGAAAATACGTGGCCGTTGGGTAGAAATTACTGTGCCACACTTTGAAGCATTTATCCAAATTAATCTTACGCTTGTTTTTGAGGATAGCGCACATCCTTGATGTAGACCGATTATATGTGGGTGCTAAGTCAGCTACGCTAACACCTATCCTCGCCCCTTAATGATTTGATACTTAATTCTAATGTAAATTTTATTCTCTTATCTTTGTCTTCTTGCGGATTTCCTTTGGGGACAAATGTATAAGCATGCTTAAATTTGCACTAACAAAATACATAATAATGCATCTGAACAGAGCTTTTACAAATGATAGTAAAATGCTAGCTGTACAAGGGCTAAATACAGACTGATAGCCGAGGTGAGGTCAGAATCATGGCCAATGACAATACATCAGGCCATTTTTTCTCCGAGAAAGCGTGTGGCGTCATCAAAAGTGGATTAGAAGCAGGGGCTTCATAAAGGCTGTCTTTTCATAAACTGCATGCCGTTAAACACGGAATTTAAAATATGTCTATATTAAGAAATGGGGATTAGCATTAAGCATATTCAATATTTAGTTATTATGCATTTATATATTAAAACATAAATAAAATTATAAAGTTACAGAGTTTGACTTTCTTTGGAAGCATAAACAAGATCCAAATTCTTAACAAAGGTCATTGGCTGTGTCTGTCTATATATAAAGTCTTGAAAAGGTTTAAAACTACATTTTTGTCAAAAACTTGAACACAAGAGCCCGTCTTGTGCTCAATAAAACAACTACCACTTAAGAAACTAAAAAAACAATCAAATTTAATTTAAAGCATAGGTTAGTAGTCAACGACTACACACACACACACACACACTTATTATTATTTAAATCAAAGTCGGCTGAGAATTTCTCACCGGCGTAACAGTTTAATTGACGGCAGCTATAACGCAAAGACGAATAATTACAATCTTAGCAGAGCTTCCAAAACTAAGAACTGTGGCCTCGAATGGCAGAAACACGCTCTGCCTTACAACCGCCCCCCCCCAAAAAAAAACTCAAATTAAATACTCATAAACCTCAGATAACTCATTTACATTTTTGTTGAGGAAACGAAAAATAAAGTTATGGGAATAGTTGAGATTATAAATAACTGCTTAATGCAAAGCAATAGTAGCTCTGCAAAGCATAAATAATAAACATTTAAAACTCACTAGTTTTAGTATCTTGTGATTATTATCAAATCTTTTAATATTTATAAACAATTTGCGTTAAGGATACATGTATTATTTCGTTTGTGGAACTAACAGTACAGACATGAAGCCTGAGATTCAATCAAATGTCAATAAATAACACTTAGATTACACTGACTAGAATCGCAAATATTTGAATGGGAATTCCTTCTATTTAGGATAGTAAATTCTTTTATAATGTCTTCAAAAAATGAACTTTAACTCTCAGAAGAAGTTGTTTCGTAACACACAACGTCCTCAGTGCATAATCTCTTGTGACTGCGTTACTTTGACATAATTATTAATTCTTCTCAACGGTGAAAATGATCGTTCTACTGATGCAGGTGAAGCTAGTATCGACAGAATCATTGAAGATAATTTGTAAGTTTACTGTTAATGCTTTACGCATTGTTAGTATTTATATATGGTACTAATTCATATAATAGCCTATTTTTAAACTCCGAAGAAGAATATAAAGCAATCAGCTCATTCTTATGCTTTACAAAATTAAACATATTGCAATATGGACTAGCATTTGAGTTATTTAGTAATATTTCTGGAAAATTTCAATTATAAGAATAAAAGTTATTTTCCTTCAGAAAGGCCATAAACTCAAGTTTAGTGAGGGAACCAAAGCTTTGGGATTTGATCGAATACGTTGTCTAAAATCTGAAATTAAAGTCTCCTGATTTCAAGTTTGTCAACACACAATTTTTTCTAACAATTCATTTATCTCTTGAGCGCTGGCTTTTTCCCATATCGCTTGAAATTATTTCGATACGACATGAGCACATAATAAAATTTAACGATTTCTTTTGCACAGTTAGAAATAATAAGGTTTTCTTTCATAAAAGCTTAAAAGTATATCTGAGGGACAGAATATTGTTGAAAACACCTCCAGGAGAAAAAATGTTATTACATTCAGCCAAAAATTTAATGAATTCACGTACTTGTGATATACATAAAGGATCCCAATCAACGCAGTTCTCTATAAAGTCTTCAAAAACATAGCTAATTCCTTTTTTATTCCATGTAGTGTATTAACTATTCTTGAGCAAAAGTTCCATCTTGTAGGTGCAGTTTTAGGTAACTTTTTCTCCATGAATTGTTTAAATGCATAAATTCGTTTTACAGACATTAAAAAAAGTTGCAGACATGCCAGACAATATTTCAAAAAAGATGTGGCTTTCTCTAATAACGCATGCAGATTGGTGAAAAACCAAATTTAAAACATGGCAGTAGCAATGTGTGAAAGTCGCCTGAGGATACTTTTCTTGTACTCGTTTCTGCAGTCTACTTACTTGCTCTGTCATAACTGCTGCTCCATCGTTCGGTGTGTCCAATAAACTTTGATTCAAAATCAATTTTTTTTTGCAATTTTGAAAATATACTTACATAGTTCTTTAGCAGAACTATCGGCACTTACGTCAGAGAAGCCTATAAATACTTCTTGGGGCTCTTTTTCATCATATGCATACCTGAAGTAGGTAAGATAATTGTGATTTATTGATTGAATCTACTGTTTTGTCTAGAGAGATTGGAACAAACTGAGATTTCGCTACTTTTTTAATAATATTGATGTGAACTTTTGAAATGCAAATTATAGGGCCAGACTGAATAGTAGGGTTTGTCCCACGGAATGTTTTCTTT